AATTAGAAAAACACCAAATATATCCTTTTAAGTGGTGTTAAAAGATAAGAGTTATTTTATTTAGGTTTAAGTTAAAGGAGAGATGAATATCATATTACATATCTGATTGTTGCATCTTTTGAGTCACATGGGAATGATGTATGTATCTAATTTTAATCTTCTAGCTGTATGCTATATAATACAAATCTGCTTACGTAATTTTGATTAAAAGATTTTGTCATGGCAATAAACTGTGTAGTGATAAAGTTTAAATTTATCTCCTAGCTTTGAATATTTTATTTTACTTTGTTCACCATTAAAAAGTATATTAAATTATTCATTAATTTTTTTAAGAATATTAAACATAAATTTTAAGTTTTAGCTTAATTTTTCTGTTTTTTTTTCTTCCATATATAGATTCAATTTATGCAATATGAATGTAAGTTTTATAGGACTAGTTGAGCATTGAATTTAAGGTTAAAATAATCATCTCCGAGTTATTAACGTTTTCTTTCGGTTCGTAATAAAAGAAATATCGTTTATAAACTTATTTTTTGTTACATTTTCCTTTAATATTTCTATTTTTCACTGTTCAAATTATATGAACGTAACATCTACAAATGCTGTTTTCTTTTTTTTTGGAGGGGGGGGGGGGGGCAAATTCGGCTGGGCAATTAGATTTTTAGTTTACAAAAACCTTGTGTTTTTCTGAAAAATGGATTTCACAAATTCTCAATTCCTACTGTAGAAATCCTGAAGAAATTACGAACAACTGATTGAACCTTTGAACCTTTTATAGAAGATGATAATTACTAGATTTTTCCCTTTTTCTCATGTTTAATTAAACAATAAAAAAATTAAATATCAAGTAGTTTACATTTATATATATACACACACAACAATATGCAAAAGACCCTAGAAATACTTCAGATATTATTTTATAAATTTAGATATGTTTAGTTCATGCAATTAAATTTCCGGCAATAAATTTCGATAGAAAACAAGTATTTATTAAAAACCTTGATCAGAAAATTAAGCAATAAACTTGTAACTTTCATTGATCACTTTAGGTTTTCTTTGCTATAACTACATAAAATTTCGTAAGCATAGCTTAAATATTTACGGAGATATGGATATTTTTATAAAAGAATACTAATTTTTTTGTTTTACGTTTTTTGTTATAACTCTAAAAATCTTCAATAATGTTAAACAAAATTATTGGAGCAAATTAATTTCAAAATTAATGGTTTAAAATTTGGAGAAAAAAATTGTTGAAAACTGCGCAAGATATTTAGAGTCGTAATTTAGAGTTAAAAATTGTTATGAAAAAAGTTTGATTTGAATATCTTAAAAATTTAAAAAGTTTCAAGCAATTTTAGAATGAGTTTTTGAACTTTTTAAAAGAAAGTTCAAACTGAAAGAAACTAAATTGAATTACCGTAAACCGGGGCGAGTCCACCCATTTTTTCAGTTTGTCAACTTTCAAGTGGTCAAATTTTGTAAATATTAAAGAAAAAAAGCTTTTAATAGGTGTTTCGGAATCGCTATTTATCCCTCTTTAAAGCTGTGAAATCGATTTTAGAAAATATTAACAGTTACGCTGTTACTGTATATTTTTATAGAACTGCTGACAAATCTCTCGTATGGGGCGAGTCTACCCATTCTACTAAAATGAATGTTAACATTGTAAATAATCAAATTTTACTATTAAATTGTTATTTTAGTTACTATATAGGATATTTATGAAGTAAAATTCATAACTTTATTATATATTCCATTTTTTTATTCATAAAATAACACAAATTGAGTATTTGATCGATTATCACATTTTGATCACAGTTTTGTTTTTATAATCATTAACATTATAAAATAACATTTTTTTCTGATTATTGTTGATAAAAATAAATTAAAATTAATATAAATTTACAATTAAATAATTAATAAATAATAATAATTAAAGATTATTAACAAAATCGAAATTCAAACATTGGGAATCATGAAAAATCCTTTTCCCATTCTTTTGGGAGGTAATAATAATTTATAAATAATAATTTATTTAACTTGCATTAAATAAAAAAAGTTAATTTTGTAATATAAAAATTGAAAAAATAGGTAAAATAAACATATTTTATATTTACATTTATATTTAACCTATAAATTTTCTTATTAATGATAAATTTATCAATGCAGAATTAAAATAATATACTCAGATTCATTTAAAATGACTTAATTTTAATATAAACAAAGTTCTAAATTATATTATTATGCTTTATTAAAACTAAATACGAATGGGTAGACTCGCCCCGCGAATTCTGGCTTTTTGTTTACAACAGCAAAACTTACATTCTCTTTGTTTTTTTTTTTCATATAAAATTAATGTAATCTTAGACTTAGATAAGTTTATCACTTAACCAAAGTGAAAATAGTAATGATAATAATATACTTACGGAGCACCAACTAAAAGTTTGCTGATTTTCAATACAAATCTCTCAAAAGACGTTTGAACAGGTCGGTTAAAAAGACACCAAATAAATAAAAACGGATCAAACTACTACAGCGCCATCTTCCTTGGAGTCTGAACTAAGTCCTCCGTCGGTAAATTTTTTTTTATTTGCAATATAAAATAGTGAAAATTAAATAAAACTAAAATGGGTAGACTCACCCCTGGATGGGTAGACTCGCCCCGGTTTACGGTACTACAAAATGAATTTTACACAAATTTTATTTTGTAGTATTACAAATTACACTACCCCATAATAATCTATAGTAAAATTTGAGAAAAACCCCATATCATTCTTAGTTTTATTTTTAAAAAAATAAAAAACTACTTAAAAATTGCTTGACATTTCTTTAAATTATAAGGTATTTAAATCAGACTTTTTTCATTAGATGCGTATCACAATTCAATGCAAAATTGTAAAAAAAAAAATTAAAATTTCTTCCGCGCCGCGTTGTATTAAAAAACTACTTTAAACATAACTTACTCAGTTTTTCTTTAAAAATTTAAATTTTAAAACAATAGTTTTTTGGAAATAATTTTACATTTCACTAAAAATATTTTTAAAGTTTAGCAAAAAACCATAAGAGAAAAAAATTAGTTATTTAAAAAAATATTCATATCTCCATAAATATTTCAGCTAGGCTAGCAAAATTTTACGCCTTTATTGACAAGTTACAAGCTCATTGCTTGATTTTCTGGCACACGGCGTTCAAAAATACTTGTTTTCTGTCATAATTTATTGTCGGTCTCTCAAACCTTTGAAACCTTCTAACCTCATTACTAAGCATGAAAAATCGCATGAATTAAACGCTTCTAAAGTTATAAAATAATTCTTGAAAAATTTAAATGTGTCTTTTCTATTATTGTAGGGTAGTGTATATAGTGATATAAAAAGTACCCAGCCGATTCTACTCTGGAAATATCTTCCGGAAATATACGGAAATATGAAAAGATTGTTCGCGAATTTATGCCCTTAATTGAAGTAGAATCTTCCTATTTATCTTTTGTGTGTCAATATTTTACAAGGACGACAAAAATGATCAGACTTTGAAAAAAGAAATATATTTTACCTATTATCATTGACGGTCACGGGTAAATGCGTAGTCTAACTGTCTGGTCTCTTTTACAAAACATGAAGACCTCTAATATAGAGAAGAATAGTATAATTAGGAAGAATAGGTTTAATAAAGGATTAAACAAGTTTATTTTTCTCCCTTGCCAAGTATGAAATGCTTCTATACAAACTCATTTTTTTTCGTCTTATTTCTTAAGAAATACTTTAAGAATTATTACAAAACTTTGAGAAGTGGTTAGATCATGCAATTTCTCATACATGTGAATTAATTTTAAACCGGCAATAAATTACAAACGAAAAAGAAGGTTTTTGAACACCTCATGCAATAAGTTTGTAACTTATATCAATGATATTGGTTATTATATGCCATAACACTCATAACAGCACAAAAGTTTTGTAAACCTGGATTAGATATTCATGGAGATATGGACATTTTTATATATATAAAAAAACTAGTTTTTTTTGCCTTACTTTTCTTACTTCAACGGTAAATATATTCAAGAAAATTAAACAAACTTAGCAGAGTAATTGTAGAGTAAATTCGGAAAAAATTTTTTAAATTGCCCAACTTTGAGTATTTAAAGTAATCCGACTATCCAAATTTCACTACACTATTTCAAACGATTATGGAAATACAAGAGAGTTAAACAGATTCGCAAACTCTTTTTTTAAAAAATATATTTAATATAATAAATTGTGTTTTGATTTTGTACTTACATGCCATTTGATTTTCTACTGCAAATTAAACAAAGTTAAGCTTAAAAGCATTAAAAAAGATTGTTTTTTTTTCTTCACATTTACTGAAAATATTGTATTTTGTTGCTTCCTTAAAGGTAAATATATTTTAATAATTTTGATTCGCTCATATATTTTTTAATTCCATAATTAAAAATAAAAAAAATTATCACTATACATATTAAAAAATAATACCCAAAACTATTTACCTGTTATAAAACTTAAATTTTTGAAAAATTTATCAAAACTATGTTACGTGACTAGCTTTTCACTACCACGAGTCACTAAATTTATAATCACTACCCCTCCTTCCTTCAAATGGTCTAAGGCAATTTACTCGCTCTTGCTTTGTTAACACTCAGTGGGCACCCTTATTTGGATGAAAATATTGATTTATGCAAAATGTTTTTTCTACTTATTGTGCTGCCATCTAGTGGACATTTTGGAAACTTCAAAGCACCTTACTGAAAACAATAGTAAGGAAAAGTCTGGTGTAAAAATGTCCTCAAGATATTATTCCGAACTCTTCACTTATAATTTTCAAAACTTAGAACAAATAACAAACTTAGAACAAACAAACTTAGAAAAAACAACAGTTAAACAACTTTATACAAAATCTTAAGTATTTTTTTCTTACCAAAATTTACAATATTATTTTTACGTACCGCGCAAAATCTTTATATCTTGATCAATATTTAATTTTTGTTTCAGGACTACCTGCGTTGAATACGCGGCGGTCAAAAAATCAAGGAAGATGCCGACAGATGAAAAGTCCTCGCGCTCCGCGGTTGAGGAGGAGTTTACGGACATCGTAGGAGGCCATGGCAAATGGCAAATGAAAATGTATTTCTTCTGTTTCTTGTGTTCCTGGCCACATTGCTTTCACAACCTCATCATGACTTTCTTTGCCCCAAACGTCGACCACTGGTGTGCGAGACCACCAGATGTAAGTATGCATGGTGGTCTCAATACAAAAAGCTTATGATTATTTTTGGTAATATCTGTCGTCACCTTGAAATATCGCTTTTTAGCTCAATAATGCCCAAGACAAAATTTTTGATGGATTTCCATTGATGGATCAACATAATCTTGATTATAAACATCAATAATTCCATCATGAATCATTATATTTTTTGATGGTAACCAATATAAGTAACCATCACCTCAATGTAGGAATTCGGTCAGATTTATGAGGGTCCAACTTAAGAATATCAACTTGTTTTGATGGTTTGTTCATGTTGAACCATGACGAATTTCCATCATAGTATCTTAGAAATCAAATGTTGGAACGATCATGAACAACCACCATCCCAATGTAGGAATTCGGACTGATTTATGATGATCCAACATAAGATAACCCCCAAATTGTTCTGATTGTATATTCCTGAGAACCAACAAGAATTCCCGTTAAACCATCATGAAAATGTATAGTTGGTGGAACCATCACGGATTGTTGGTCCATGAGAGTCAAACCTCTCTTGATGGTTAACCATCATAGCATTAAAGTAGTGGCATTTATGGAATGATGGAAGTTTGTTAGTCTATCAAAAACGATGAACATATAATGTAAAATGTTGGTGACTATCAAATGATGATGGACCATTATGAATCGCACAGAAACTAACATAAACCATCGAAATTTTTTGATGGGACCATCAAAAATTTTGACTTGGGTATACTGTTGTGTGTTTGTGACAGTTAATGTAAATGGTTCGGTTAAGTTTTACACATCTTATAGTTCGTCTAAATTTATCCTTTAACTATACTTATTCTTGAGTATTGAATAAGAACACTTTTATCCGACTGAATAATTCAATGCTGTCCTATTAAATTTTCTAAAACTGCCATATAAGCTGTTTTTATTTTAACCTGTAACTGTATACTTGTGTATAGATTGCAAAATAATATTTTTTCTATTAAATATTCTAATATTGGCTTGTAGAATTTGCTGAAACCCCCTTATTGAATATCTTAAATGTATCTAACAATTATATATTAATTCTTGTGTATTGATGAAGTGTAATTTTATCCTATTGAATATTTTAACATTTCATGTCCCAAACACCCTTATTGTATATGTTAAATTTACCTAACAGTCATACTAATTCTTGTGTATTGGCAAAGTATAATTTTATCCTATTGAATATTTCAATCTTGTCCTATGAACTTATCTAAAACTCTCTCGTTGTAACATCTTAAATTTATCCAACAGTTATATTAGTTCTTGTATTTTGACGAAATGTAATTTTATCTTATTGAATAATTATCTTGTGAATTATCTTATCTTAATATTATAATTATTCAATAACTATCTTATTGAATAATAACTTATTAATCTTGTTCTATGAACTTCTCTAAAACTTTCTTATTGACTATTCTAATCATGTAACAATGTACTCATATTGTAACTGAGCAAATTTGTGTGAATTAACAAAGTGCAATTTTATCATATTTATCCTATTATTATTTAAGAATGTTTCACTGACGGATCACTTTTGTTGACTAAACTTTATCTTATAAATATAGTAAAATTACCCCGTTTCAATGAAAACTTCTTTTTGTCCTTCAGATGTTGGCGGCAAATATATCAGCCAATGAGTGGAGAAATCAATCCATTCCTTTAGTCGTGAATCGAGCTGGACTCATTCAGAAAAGTCAGTGCACTCTGTACAAAAGTATCTTGGTAAATGGTTCACTTTTCGTACCTTCAACATCTGAAAGTGCAGCAGAATCGTGCAAATCTTGGGAATATGACGATTCTTTTTACAAATCAACTATGGTGGATGATGTAAGCAAGATTTATTACGTATATTTTTCTATGAATGAACCATTTTAAACTAAAATTAAATGTTACTAGAGCTACCAACAGAGGCGGATCCAGCGGGGGGGGGGCCATTAGGGTCATGACCCCTATGTTGAAGAAAATATAATAATAATAATTTTTTTAATAGTTTACAAAAGAAATAAAATATTTAAAAAATTATTTAAGGGGGCATATACACCTAGGTAGGTCGGAAAAATCGAATTTTCCCCCCATCTAATTATGTTCTTCACTGTTTCAAGAATCGTAATCCAAAAGATTAAAACGAAATAGTTTTATTGTAAACATTATGTTGTAAACATCGTTTCATTGCAAGCATTAACAATGCTCAAGCGCTCCAACAATTTTAACCAAAGATTGTATTTGCCAAAGTTTCTAAGAAACGCATTTCATTTATTATTTAAAGATTTTGAATACTTGAATTGTTTATGTATTGTGCTATTGCTTACTATGAAAAAAATAAATGAGAAGACTAGCATAAAAACCCCAGCTTTTTTTTTTATAAAAAAAATTAATTGTGGGGGGTGGGTGGGCTATGAGTCTATGACCCCCCCCCAGGAAACATTTCTGGATCCGCCCCTGGTTACCAATTCACAGCGCTAATGTCTCTTTACTGTTTTGGTTTGAATGTTTATGTTTGCCTCTTAAGTTTATCTAAGCTAAGAACTCCTCCCGCCATAAAGTCTGGTGCCGTCTGGTGGCATGGAAACAAGAATGGCGCATTTTAGGGAGGGTAGCTTCACTCTAGGACTAACACAATAGACCGGAGAAAGATATTCCTTTTCTCTTGCCGACCCGAGCAGAAAACACTCCAAAACAGTGACCCTGCACCCCTATTTGAGATAGTCATACCTCGTTACCATAGTCACCTCCACAAGTCCAGACGAATGTTTGGAGGAGTTCTTATTTTAGACAAACTATATGAAACTCTGCTTTGTGTATGTTTGAGAATAAAGCATAATGACTTAATTTTATTTCGTGATTTGTATTGCTTTAATATTAAAATAAAATTAAAAAAAGAAATTGGTAAATTTTTTATCTCTCATTCAACGTTTTTTTTTTTCTTTTTTAAATTTTGTTCCCCGATTTTTAAAAATATTTTTCTGTTTGTTATATTTGAAACCAAGAATTTTCCCAACTGTCAGAAATAGGGACATATATTTCCTCTTCGGGGGAATGAGTAAGGGTTTTCAGTTTTGGTATCAGTTTTCACTAAGGAAATATTTCAGCTCGCTTGAAATGGAGAAAATTTTTTCTTAGAAGTCAGATACAAATAAATTATCTATTTTTTTAAATTGTAAATTTAATTACACAAATATCGAGTGAAAAATTTTAATCTTAAAAGAGGCTGTGTTCTTTCATTTATATGATGTGAGGGGGCTAAGGCCCTCTCTGACCTCTTCCCCGTTCCGCGGTTGCGTATTAGACTTGACTGAAGAATCAACCACTTACGGATTGTTCACATATATGCAGACTTTTTCCAGCTTAAATGGAACAGTTTTATTAAGTATTTAAAATGATTGCGAATGTTCACTATAACAAACTTGTTTTTGTTTAATAAAATTAATTTATTTAACCAACAAACATTTTAAACATATATATGTTACCGTTAAAGTATGAAATCCGTTATTTTATAGAGTACCTAGTTATTCCATGAAATAACTGATCGTGTCCGTTAAAGTGTAAAACTCTCTTTTATTTCATGGTTTAACTAGTTATTTCATAGAATAACGATCTTCAGCCCGTTAAAGTGTAAAATAATCTATAACTTAATGTTCAAAGAGAAAGAGAAAAGTCTAAAAAATGTTTAGAAATTCAAGCGAAAAAGAAAATTAATGTCGGATAAATCTCATTCTGAAGCCTCCGTACCGTCCGTATCCCAGTGCCTGAGGTTGACAGAAGAAAAGGTGATGCCAAATCTATTTTAGCTATCGTCATAAAAATAACCGAAGAAATATTTTTCCAATTGGGCACAAGAAACGGCCGCATAAAACAATTATATTCCCGATCTCAGTTCAGTGTCTGCGAACAAAAATTAATTAAAATCGAAGAAGTGCCGGATGTAGAAATATCGCTCCGGTCGGTTGCTACAGCTCAAAGTTTAGGCACTGGTCAGGGATTTAAAAAATGTTCGTGTAAAACCCAGTGTGTCAACAAAAAATATTTTTGTTTTAGAAATAATGTTCTTTGTAATTCCAAGTGTGTGTCATTTTAGTAATCCTTGTTGTAACAAATGATTTCGTGGTACGTTTCCATAAATACCATTTATACGCTGCATAAATTAGATAAATTGCTTCTTTTTCATTTTAATTGTCTATCATTAGTTTATTTATAAGATATCTAGTTATTTCATTTTAGATAAATTGTTTATTTTACACTTTAACTGTCTCTCATTAGTTAATTTATAGAATACCTAGTTATTTCATAGAATAACTAGTTAAAGTGTCAAATTAATAGCATATTACACACTTTAACGGACATGATCAGTTTTTTCATGGAATAACTAGATATTCTATGAAATAACTGCCTTACATACTTTAACGGTAACATACATACGAATAACAGAGCACGGACGACTCTGTTATCACAGACTCTTTGAGCGAGTTGTTTTTTTCCCTGCCTTTAACAAAATCGGTGTTTTGAAATATACTAAGTGAGGATTGCACAATTTAATTACGTTGCTTATTTTGTGTTAAAACGAATTAACGAATCAACTATATATTTCGAGTTTAATTTTAATACTCTTTTTCTTTCAGTGGGATTTAGTGTGCGACCGGGAGTGGTTGATTTCTGTTTCAAAAACTGTTTACATGGTTGCATTTTTAATTGCAGCAACATTATGTGGTCAGCTATCAGACAAGTAAGTCAACTTACATTTACTATATTATATCCGATCCGTGTAAATATTGTATCCATGTGAACAAATCCATATAATACTGTTGAAGAAAATATGTTTACATATTCTCAGATCAGTACAAATCCGTCTGACTTGATAGTTAGTAAATGAGAAACAACTGTTAAACAAAGTGTGGTTTGTCTGTGATTCTTTTCAAAACATAATTATTTATATTCTTGATATTTTTTCTCTTTCCAAAAAGCACATTTCAGACATTACAAACCACTTTTAGATTGATTTTTCATGGTCTCTTACAAAAAAACAAACAAACTATTACCATGTACAGGGGATTCTATAATCACCTCCCTTAATGTATAATTTTAGAATTCTTGTGAAAAATAAAGTCAAAAAAGCTCATGCATTAAAGGTTGGAAAATAATTTTTAATGAATCATAAACAGAAACGATAAATAATTCTGTGGAATCACTTTAGTGAAGAAGGTAGCATTGAAATATATGTCTCATGATCTTTCCTTAGTAAGGTTTCTTTATGTTTTGATAACATGCTAAATATCAATATAAGGCTTCTTACACATATGTTTTTTTTATTTAATTTCAACAAGCAATTTAAATACATTTATTAAAGGCAATCGTAATGGCAAACTGTGTTTATGATTTGAAAAAATTTTAATTGTACTAGAAGTTTCAGTTTTTTTTTCGATATTCTCTATCTTACAAAGTCAGTTCAATTTTTTGAAAACCAGGCACTTTTCCAGCGTAAGTGTATCAAATCCCTTAAAGTAGTGATGATAGAAAAAACTATTTTCATACATTTGAAAATAATTTCAAATGTAATAAAAAATAAATTTCAATAATTTTTAAGCTCCAAGCAAACCAAATGTGTAGGTCTGTTTTACTCTAACTAAACAATCAAGATTAATACGCTTTAATTATTATATTGGGCCGGGATAGCCTGGTCGGTAGGGCGCTGGACCCATGTCCGAGAGTTCGTGGGTTCGAACCCGGCCGGTCGAAGACTCCCCGTGTAGTTTGTGACTGATGTACGTTAAAATTCTGTCGAATCTCAAAGTCCTCCATGTTCCCATAACAAATCAATACCTCTGGGGATACTGGATTGGAGATCTATCGTTCTCTGATTCTGGTCTAAATTACGATCTGTGGATGAATGAAGGGATGTATGAATGGGTCCGCCTTATAAACAGGTGTGACGTATGGTGTGACGAAGTCGAATTCTTGGTCATAGATGGGGCCACTGAAAAACAAGAATTACACACTCTGCCTTAAATTTGCTCGGTTTCACCAAGCAGGCTTGCCCGTGTGGCAAGTGGGATTAAAAACAACCAACCAATCAATTATTATAAAAAATAATTTAAGAGTTTTTAAAAAAAAAATTTCTTTTCTTTCTGAGACTCGGACTTAACAAAAAAAGGCTTCTTTAAATTATAATTAGAGAATAAATAAGCTAAAAAACTTATAAACTCGTTATTTTAAAAGTAGAGAGACCTCTGTGTGAATAGACTACTTTTAAAACAAAATCTATTTTTAACTAAATTGATTTTAACTAAGAAATAAATAAGCTAAACAAATTTAATCTCCTTACTTTAAAAGCAGTGTTATCGGTCAAGTTGACCATTTGCGATGTAGAAATTTGGTTTTCCTCTTAGTCACTTAGTCAAGTAGTATGATTAAAATCAATTTTGAAACTTTTAGGCAGGCCACACACTAGCAAGCAGCAGGAAAGACATACAGGTGTAAATTTTGAGTTAGGATGCGCAGAGGAGCCTAAGCTAGTGCAAAAGTTAGGGAATCTGCCTCACGTATGTCTCTTACCTACAACTTGCCACTTCTGTATATGACGTCCCTTATTAAGATGTAATGAAAAAAAAATGTGTTGTGTTGGCCTGTTATTATACATACATAAAAACAGAAATAAATATTAATTTCCAATTATTTATTGCATTAAGTATAAAGTAAATATATTTAAGTCGTTTTTTTCTTCCTCTGACTCCAACTTTTTAAAGCAGCTACGTTAAGCTAGAAAAAATAAACTAACTTATAATCTCTACATAAAAACTCTTTAAGTTTGACAGTTGCCAAATTTAATGATGACAGGCTGTAAATTTAGTGGCACACAAGAAAGTGATGGTTTGGATAGTATAAAGAATTTTTGCAGATTTTGCCATATTAGTGCGAAAGTCAACATAGCCATGTTATCAAATTACTAAAGTGGTCAATGGTTAACTTCACTTATAGTGTAGATTTATTTCCCCTTTACGTTTATACTAAGTGATATATTCTAAATATATTTAGCTATATTATAGACTAATTTTTTACCTCCCCCCCAAAAAAAAACAGGGTTTCAAACTGTGCTTTGTGATTTTTTTCTCCAGGTTTGGACGAAGGCCTGTTATGATTGTATGTGTCTGCCTGTTTTTAATCGCCGGTCTTCTGACTCTATTGTCCAGAAACTTCATGATGTTTGTCGTCTTGCGCTTTTTTCTCGCCATGGGAATTACGTCCACATATACCATATCATATGTATTACGTAAGTGTGTTTCTTGTTTCCTCATGCGTATGTATAGATAACAATGGTCATCATAATACTTATGGCTCAAAATATAAGAGGCAACCGCAAGCTAAAATTATGATATATATAGTTGAGTCAAGAGTTGCTTAAATATTTGTATAAAAATGATAAAATGGTACCTTAAAAATCTTTTAAATTCTACTAGCAATAACGTAAATCTAATATTACTGTTAAAATTTTCCAAAGCCTGTGGAAATTGTGAAGCCTGCCAATTCTTATTGATTTTTCTGAAGATTTTATTTTTATCTTTAAAATGATATAAACTTGTACCTTTTATTGATCTGTAAATTTAATATAGATTGGATTTAATCATCACTAAACATGAATTTATTAAAAATGCATATAAATGGTGATCTTAAGTTCTGGCGATTGTGCTTAGTATTGATATTTCTATTCTTATATCTCTATCACATTCAGGAAAATCATTCTTGGAAAGGCAGGCAGACCCGACGATAGTAATTTTGGTAGCAATGCATATTTGTGCCATGCTCGCATCCAATTTTTTTTCTTCCATTGCCCACCTGGGGAATGACCTCTCGCCATATAGGCATCTGAAGGGCAGATTTGTTGGTCACTCTTTCAGGAGCACCATATTAGGTGGGCCAATGTTGCTCCCATAGTAAGGACAGATAGTACAGAGAATGAAAGTACAATCATGCCTTGCCCGCGATTCGAACCCAGAACCTTTCTGATGCAAGGCCAGTTCCCTGACCTCTACACAGGCCGGTCGGCTCCAAAATAAATAAATAAATAAATAAAATAAAACTAGCTCTTCAGAAAAAGGTTAATTAGGATTTTATTTCTCCATATGTGTGCCATCAAAAAATGTTATTCGAATACTTCAGTTAAATGGATTTCTATATTCTTTTACAGTATCTGAGGTGGTGAGCGTTGAGTACAGATCAATCTACCTGTTCACGTTCAAGTTTGGCTGGACCTATGCTTATATGTTGATGCCTCTGATAGCCTGGCTCATCCCAAGCTGGTTCTGGCTCCAATGTGCCCTTACACTACCCTGGCTCTGTCTCTTGTCAGTCTTCTGGTAACGTACTTACTTGTTAATTTGTTCGACAGACAAATTGAAAATTAGGATCAATAGTCTTTGAACGGATAGAAATTTTTAAAGCTTCTTTCCAATTTTAGTAAACTTGAAACCTATAAACAAATAACTCGGTGATATCTGATGTTAAGCATGTACGATGATGTAGCATTAGTATCACTAATACGCATGAGGGGTAATGTGATGCTAATCATAAATGATGATGATAATGAGAAAGAATTTGCATAGAGTTTACCGTAATGCTAACTTTATCACCTACCCCTTTGCGATGTTGCGATTCGTGAAAGGGGGTTTCACGCATGCTCTGTGATATGCGAAATTCAAATAGCCGGTAAATCTACGGTGAACATTTTATATTTTATAACCGTCGTTTGACAGCCGACTCAAGTTTGGGCCTACGACTACCAGTGTTAAACTCCGTAGTCTTGTAATTTTGAACCCAATCCAGAAGACAAGGGAACTCTTGGGATGAAGTATTTAGAGTAATTTTGCCTTCGTGGAGGACTTTTGGATAGAAATAATCCGCATTTGCGCTACATGGAAAGGAAAACCTCGAAAATCTCGAATGGCTAGTCTGACGGCAAGGGGACTCTAACCCATGATTCGTCTACTATTGAGGATATTTTACATCAGCACTGTGGTCGGCGCGAGCCAGAAGCGGAATTCGTATCGACCAGTCATCGCTTGGGATTTGAACCCGGTTCATCTAGTTCGAGAGCGGACACTCCATCGCCTGAGCCACCACGACTCTACGGTGAACATTAGCGTTTTGCTGAATCTCTCTATTATATTATGATATTCATGCAAATCGTAACGTCGTAAGTGGCTTATATATAAATATAGTAATGTCGCTTATAAAAGATGAGAAACTGATTAAAGTTTTCAAAATTCGTGTCCAGAAAAAGTGGAGAAAAGTTTATATATAAGTATAGTTGGTTATTTCTCGTTTAACTTCAACTAAAACTTCTATTTCAAATAGTCATGCGAGATTTTCAGAAATAAAAGTGGGAACATAGTGATAAGCCACACTTTCCATAAAAACTTTACTACAGACTTTTTCCTTACATTGTTTCAAAACAGTTTAAAAGTTTCTGCATTGCTTTGTAGATAGCAGCACAATGCATCGAAACAACTTATTATTGTCTATATGGAACTTAATCATTATTTTCTTCAAAAACCCTCTTAAAAACTTTTTTGACCAGTTTAAAAATGTGACTTATCATTATTCCGGAAACTCTTGAATTATTTATTTTAGTATAAATATTTTGTAGCAATCATGACTATGTTAGTTTTAATATTATACAAAAACAAAAACTATGCTTTTTTTTTAAAAAAAAAAAAAGCAAATCTTTTTCATATTTTCAAGTACTATAAAAATGTTGTCAATTGGGGGCTTTTTCATGGCTACACATTACGATGCAATAATATATTTATATTAATAGAATAATATTTTACCCGTATTCAAGTCTAAACATCTTGATCTTTATGTGAGTCTTGTAATTACACATATTTGTCTTACACCAGGATGATTCCAGAAACACCTCGATGGCTATTGACGCACGGCAAGTACACGCAACTCGAGAAGACACTACTGATTGCTGCAGAGAAAAACGGGAAAGACATGAAACAAGCGAAGGCATCTATTCACAATTACGTCAGTCGTCAACAAAAGGTAAACACCACTCACACATAAATAAAAGTGATTAATCTGTTTCACGAAGCTCTGTCACCAAGGAAAAGAACCCCCTCAGTTTAACCCTTTCAATACGGCGAAAAATCAGTTCAAGTGCGCCCCATTGCCGGGCTCAGTTATTTCTCCTTCAAGCGATTATTAGATAACATAACTTTTATGCCTAAAAGGTTGAAGATCTTGGAGACGCATAAACGTCCTCATAACAGCTCACCATCAATAACAATTATTTCACGAGCTTCATTGATGGGACAGCATATGTCCCGCCGTAAGCCCAAAGCATCTAAACCCCGGGACAAGATATGTCCCGGTCGGAATTCTAGAGTCAATAACTCATTTTTATTGACATTTTACTTAAAATTTTGATGATTATTTTAGGCAACGCTTTTTTTATTAACATTTTCATGTACATTTGCGTTGACATTTTTATTAACATATTTATTTATAAACACTTTTCGAAATTAACTGTTATACAATAAGAAAGGTAAAAAATTGAAAGTAGTGGAGGAACAACAGTATCTAAAGTCTTGGTTTCTTCAGGATGTGGTAGGGCTGGAAACAATTCTTGCAGAGTGCTACGTTGCAAGAGGTGCACACTATTTTCGAGCGTGCCTCTTTCTTCATTTTTGTGCACCATGCACATCTTCTGCATGTTTTCCCCTCAATTGGGAAGTGGTTTCCAACATTGAAGAGTTTCGCTGTTGATGATTATGATGATATAGTTTCGGAGGAAGAGGGCCTTTGCTTATTGACTTCCTTGCTCGCATTTCCAAATGTTCCTTTTTTCCATTTCTATACTTTCGTTCGTACATTGGGCTATGTAAATGAATAAGCTTTAGGGAAAGGTCTTGAAGAAGGAATCCACTTCGGTGGTTTCGTTGCCAATAGAGAAATTTGTTTGACCCTTGATGTAAGTAACTAGTGGCATTCATGGTGCAAAGTTAGTTGGATGGGATCATGAAAATGATGGTAGATTCTGGTTCTGGAGCTCAACTTCATCATCAAACAAATCATTGTGATTGGGTGAAACGACTTCATTGTCGGTCTCCTCTTCAGTGTTTTCAGTTTCAGAAGACTCACTAATATTAGCGAGCTGTCACAACTTGTTATCAGGGTAAACTATCTTTCAACTCATTTCGACCGTTCATCACAGGAAGGAGCCTTCGAATTATTTAGAAATGGTGGTGGTTGAAAACCTAATAAATTGAATTTATTAAAACAAAAATCCCAATTAATAAACTACCACTCGAAAATATTTACTCACTGTCCGGAGCAAGTCGGTTGGAAATCGGTTTGGAGACCAAAGTGGGCGTTATTTTCTGTCCTAGATATTTTTCAGTAACTGGGACATATGTTGTCCCAGCCGTAATATCAAAAATTTACCAGACTGGGACAGCACATGTCCCGTCCGGTGCGAAAGGGTTAACAAGTTAACTAAAGTTCCCAAAAAATCTCTAAATTTTAGTTTGTAGTTGTACCGTTTTTTTAAAACGTTTTGTCGAATCCGGAGCAGTTGGGATTTCTATTTATAAGAAACCGTGTGGAGGCTTTCTGATGTAACAGGCGATGGTTGTATGCGATTTCTAGTGAGAGTCTAATGAATAATGCATTTCGCATGGTTGCCACGAAACATGAAAAAAGTAAATACCAGGAGCAAACCTATTTACTTCCCTTATTGAGAAAAATAAATTTTCAACGATCAAATTTTTCCCCCTCATAATAAATATTTTTACTTGCAAAAGCACTTACAAGTAAACATCTTCTATAGCAGTAAATTATTTGCGGTATCAGAAATATTTTACTCCTACATTAAATTAACTAGGAATTAAACGGTTTTGTTACCAGTACTTTCTCTTCTATGGGTAAGTTTTGTCCCTGAATTTTTACCTATAATATATTAGTATACCTTTACTTTAAATATATATTTTTACTTGTAAACGCGCTAACTAGTAATAATTATTTAAAGTTATAATCTGTTATAAGGGAAAGTTACGTCCCTGGACTTACCTTTCAGCTTCTACGAGACATTCGCTGTTTCAGAAAATATTCTTCACAGTGGTAGCAAAGTTATTGTTTTAATAATTTAATAAAAAATAACATAAAGAAATTTTGTCCACTACTCAATATTAATAACTTAAATGGATGCATAAAAAAGCAGATCAATAGAAGTTTTTAAAAAAAAAAAAAGAATTTCAATTTGCTCAAAGTGGAAAAAAATAATCCTCAGAAATCTCAAAGGTTGATTGGATCTGTTTCCACAAGATATTGACAAACAAAACTGATGTGTAAGTATTTTAATAACTCTTTTGCTGTCCTTTACCTCAATAGTTTGGGAACCTCTTTTTGTCATTCAAATATTACATTTCGAAATCGAAATACAAGGTTAAATTAAATGATTCCCAGAGTTTTGAATGACTGTTTAGTTACAAGTACAATGACAGGTGGATGAGAGCTACACGTGCTCACCTAGTTTCTGCTGCATACTGCAAATATTCAATGTGGGCACCTTTAGTAACCCAGCACGCATTCTAGTGTTAAACCAGTTACGTAAATGCTTTCAATAACATATTTTTATCAATGCCTGTCATAGCAGCAGCGAAGTGTAGTTGCAATGCTGTTGGTATTGCAAGCACATAAATTTGTGGTGGGCGAAGTTTATGCCACCTCAATACTAACATGTGAAGGAAAAAACTTATATTACCCTAATGCTAACTTGTGAACTAAGTTCATGTCACCCCATTGCTAACAGCACTGTAGGAATGCAGCACTGCTGTTGCGACGGACATTTATAGAAACATATTAACTGGTTTACCATTAGGATGTGTGCCAAATCACCAAGGGAACAGACATTAATCATTTGTACATAGCAAAAACTTAGTCGGTAGACTGCCTATCAAGCACGAGGTAGACCCACCACATTGGACTTGTTAGTGGAGGTCACGATTGTTGACGATAATGCTTTGATTTGACAGTCGCTTTGAGCTAAAAACTAATTTCTACTTGGTGGTTTGTTTTAACTAAAATCACCACCCCATACCCAACTACTTCTTGAAATAAACGCACCTTCCAACCTCCCTGAGTCACTTCATAATTGTCATTCCATGAATTTCTAATCTTCGTACATCTTATACGTAAATGAACAGTTCTTTAACACTGGATGAATCATTTATGATATTTTTATATGTTATTTTCTGAATATAATGTCTAAAGTTTCAGATGTATTAACATTAAAAACTCAATGTTTTCAGAATTTTTAAGGATTTTTTCTCTCCATTTAAATAGATATCGAAAACAGAAGAAAAGAAACGAGATGAAACAGTTTTCGATCTATTAAAAACACCAGCTTTAAGAAGGAGTACTTTAAATATTTATTTTTGTTGGTATGTTGGCACTTTTATTTAATTTTCCCTCTCAAGGAATAAGATTGGATTGAATATAGAGTTAATAAAAACCACTATAAGCACTGTTAGTTATAGAAATGTGAATACAATGTGTATTGAATGAGGTGCAATTCGGTTTTTAATATCGCAGTTTCAGAACTATACTGATAGGTCTTTATCGACTATTTGACTATTTGAAATTCATACTTAGTCAGAAGTGGCACAACGAAAATACTGGTGCTTGCAAAGAAAGAAAAAAAAAATTACAAACTTTCTTGCCACACATATTTATACTGTTCTATTTATGGTAAAAGTAAATACTTCGAGTCTCTTAAACAATTGCTTATAATAATTAAAGATTTTTTCTTAAATTTGAAACTAATGCTCTAAATTTCCAAAGCTAAATAAATGATTTAATTATTAGCATTATTTAGACCAAAAAAGATTAGGGTGTACTATGTGCTGTGTAAACTAAAGTAAAGAAGAAAAAAAACACGCAAATGAATCACGAACTAAAGTACTGAAATAGACATACTATTTCGGTTCTGTAAACAAGAACCTTCTTTAGTGTCTAAACTCCAAATGATGGTTGAGAAGTAAAGGGATAAGCACGTGCTAACGAGTTTAACCAATAGGAATAGAGGAAACAAGTTTGAAGAAGATAATAAAAAAGAAAGATAAGAAACAAGTGTGAGGGGATTTGGTGGGAGCCCCAGAGTGCAGCAGATTAAATTGGAATAGACTTCCAAATATTCGGAAAAAGGTGAATGCTTTGAACATTAATTAAATAATTAGAATTTTTCAAAATATGAAATGAGTCCCAAAAATCAAGTTCGGTAAATGAAGGATAGTGTTGAATGATTTTAGAAGATCTCAAACCTATGATTAGAATTCTAACTATGCAGAGCGATGGAAGATCAGCTAATATCCTAATTTTGGATACATCTTTCATGCTTTTTAAGTCAAAGTTTAAGGGTGCGTTCAGTTTTTGCAAAATAAGCCAACCCATAAATTACAAACTAAACATACCCTTAAACTTCTATTCTTCTTATTGTAAAGTAGGTTTTGAGCCTTGATTCCCTACCATTTTTATCTTCAAATAAGTACTTTTTACATTGTTACCAAACGTTTCACAAACACTACGAAATTTTGATAATTATTTTTTTGCACCAGTTTAAGTTGTTGTAACTTTATGATTAAAGAATAAGAAGTGACGAAAAAATTTTTTTTGTTGCAAATATAAATTAGAAATTTTTTATACTCACACTTTTAAAAAATACCATTTTCATATTATTATTCGATTGACATACAAAACTTAAAATCTGTAATCTACTTAATTTATTTTTAAAATGGATTTATGTTATTTTAAAAATATTTGCGCCCTATACAGATAGTTAACGAACGATCTGCGACTTTTTTTTATTCTGTTGATGCTATTCTTTTGCTTTTTAATGTCCAGATATTGCGAGAACTTCTTCAGGCGCCAGACTCACGCTCTGGCTTGGTTACAAAGGTGAGTCACTACAAATGGGAGTGCGGAATTAAACCAATACCTCCTAGAAGGGAAGAAAGCCGAAGGACGCAAAACGATGACTCATACAGTTAGGCCCAGATTTGCTGATGATTTCNAGTTGGGAAAGTCATATCATTTCTTCAATTTTTCCCTTAACAAAAAGGTTTTACTCCAGTTTTTATAGTAGAAGACAACGTCACACTTTTTGTCGGGAGTAGTCCTTGTAATAACAGGACATTAATTCTTCATTAGCAACACAACCTTCCCCCTCTTGTTTTAGGAACTCATGGCAAGGCGCACCCCAATCTTCTGTAATGTGTTGGATAGTATATATCAGGGGTGGCCAACCTGCTGCTCGCGAGTCACATGCGGCTCTTTGAAGGATTATTTGTGGCTCTTGATAAATGTACCCGAGTTCCCTTTTCATTTTCGTGCTATTATATTTTAAAAAATTATTATCGTTCCGTATGTGTTTTAAAATGTCTTTTAAATTACTGAGAACAAATATGAAAGACTAAGTGCAACTTTGTTGAATTCAAGGTGAGTTTCCCCTTTCCAATATAATTGTGAGACAAAAAGCATCTGGAGAATTAGAATTAAGAGAGATGCAAGAAGATCAAGCTCTACACTTAAAATATAAGTCGACGTCGATTACTGAATTTTGGAAATTTGAATCAGAATCGAAGTATCCTAAATTAAAAAAGGCTGCTTGTCGAATTATTTCAATATTCGGGACAACGTACTTATGTGAATAATTTTATTCCGCTTTAAAATTCGTGAAATCCAAACACCGATCAGTATTAACTAACCACTATCTCAAAGAATTACTGAGAAGGGCTGTCACCAATTATTCACAAAATTTTAAAGAATTATCAAGATAAGTAAAATAAATGTGTTTAATATTTAAATTCAATACACATATTTTGCACTTTTACTTACATGTTTTCAATAAATATAATTTATATAAAAAGAAATTTTTAATACCTTTTTTGCATACTTTTTAAATACTTTTTTAATTGCGGCTCGCGAAAAATTTCAAGTTTTGAAAAATGGCTTGACTATCAAGGAGCTTGGCCACCCTTGGTATATATCAACGGAACGTCAAAGTATAGTACGGCTTTCAAGAGAACTCCCCCAGACACCTGTCTGGGGGAGTTCTCTTGAAAGTACGGGCGGGTACTATGGTTACGAGGAAAGGTCACTTTGAATAGGGGTGTGGGATGAATAGTTTTTGTCTTAATCTTAGCGTAGGTCGTCGTGAGTAAACCAATCGACACCTTCTTTCCTCCATTTCACCCCTGTTAGAAATGAGCTGTCGCTTTGTACCATAGCAGCAGACAGTCCCAGACTTTCAGTCTGGAGGAGTTCTCCTCAAAGCTGCACTATAAGATGGACAGTTACGCATTGCTGTTTGTTTACCAGTAACTATTGGCTGACCCGTGGTGTCCCCCTTGACATAAACGAAACCATCATAGAGCGTATGGTAAATGCTACACATCACTGGAATTTAGACACATAAAAAAAGCCATCTAAATCACACACTCAAAAATAGATCGACTGTTAAACGCCAGTTTTCAGATGAAATGGAACAATTTGAACCCCATTTTCCTTTTCTAATCATAGCGCCATCTATGAACGCGAATACAAAAACCAGTTCGTACTTTTTTTTCTTCTGGAGAATCCAAATCTATAATTAAAAAAATGGATATTTCTATTAAAGATTTTGAAGTACGACAACGATACTGGTGGCCGAGTTTGGTATGCTTGAATGTATCTTTTGAAAATATTTCACACGGATGCGTTTGACTCGAGAAATTTACCGTTTCCATTGTTTTCAGACGCCTCTAAAAATATAATTTGCATTTTATATTTTCAGGTTTGTTATTTCTTACATATATTATGCTCTCTCATGGAATACAAATGACTTAGGAGGAGATCCCTATTGGACTTTCTTCATTTGCGGAGCCGTAGAGTTGCCAGCTGGCGTCATATTCTTGTTCCTCTGCAGACACATTGGTCACAGAATGGGTCTTCTTATCGCCAATGTTGGTGCAGGTATATGCCTCATCATAACGATCTTCATTCCAGCCGGTAGGTATAACACTTTTTATAGAAAGCTGTCAAATTTCTTCTATTGGTAGCCAAGTTAATGTTTTAACACATTTGTTAGTAGCTTTCTTTTAACCCTTTCCGGGCTCAGAGTTGCTAATTTAGCAATATTTAATTAAAAAAAAGTTACATACCACTAAAATGCAAAACTGTTTGCTTTAATATTTTCATCAATTTTTAGCTACCGCTATTTTTTAAGCAAAGAAGCAATGAAGTATGTATCGTTAATAAGAACAGATCGTGGGACCTCCCTGGCCGAGCGGCATCGCCCGTCAAATGCAGTGTGAAGCGTGGAGGTGGCGGGTTCGAATCCCGTCGTAACCCTGGATGTTTTCTTTGTGATGTACTCTATATTGTTCTATCTGTCCTTCTACTTGACAAAGGCTTCTAAGCCTAAATTGAGCAAACAAGCCGGCAAATGTATGTAATTTCAATAAAGCAATAAAGAACAGATCGTCTAAGGTCGTATAAGAGGGCGCTGCCAGCTCTCTACGCTTTTTGGAAAAATCCTGCTAGTGGTAGTTGAGATTATGAGTCATTGTATTATTTCTTGTTCTGTTCATTTTTCATACCATTGGTTGTAAATGATTCAAAAGTTTATATAGAGTGCCACTTTGTTCTAGTCATATCATGGAGAAGCTTTTAAAGTGCTCTAAAAATGTTAGTTTTTATATTCCTACCTAATATTCTGCGAAAAGCGGTGTAGTTGGTAGGCCTGGGTAGATATAAATGTGCTGCTTGACTAAAATTTGCAACCGAAATTTGCAGTTCCGTAAAGGGTTAACCTTTTTGGGACGGGAGAGCCATAAATGTATTCATACGGAATCAGAATAAGTTTAGTAAAAAAATAAAAGGTGGTAGTTTAAGTTTGGGCATTGCTAATCATCGCCCTTAATGTAAATTTTTAGAAATGAAAATAAAAAGTAAATGCATTTGGGGTGGCAAATTAACCCCTTGCACTCAAGAGGTGTTTTTCCGTCTACAGAGCCGTCTAAAAAATACTGATTACTCTATACATTAAAGTATTAACATCTTAATGCTTATGGTACTGCTTAACATTTATTAACTGGCAGCCTCCCGGTATTTTATGGTTAACATGTAAACATTGATAGTTTTGTCTTGGAAAGTTTTACTGCTTACATACGTTTTTTTTAACCAATGAAAGAATCTCGAGTACAAAGGGTAAACATTAATATAGGACACAAAAATGATATCGAAATCTATCAAATGACTAACCAGAAATCAAATCAAAAGTATCAAAACCAGTTGTCTGTCTTGTAAGATTTTGAATTATTTTTAATAACTTTGTACAACATGAAAAAATACTTTTATATGAAAATATGTGTTTCTCACGTATTTTTGGCAGAAAAAAATGAATCTGTATTTATTTATTTTTTAATAAAATTATTTTCACAAAAATTCCAGTTTTTAGCTAATCTACGTAACATATTTTAATAGCACAAAAATTTACAGGCATTGTAAAGGTGCTCGGATTGGCAATGGTACCATCGCTAATTTGGAGACCTTTTTGGCGATCTTGATGGCATTTTTGGAGACAAAAGTCGTACCTACCTTTATGAAATTTCGAGGCTCTAAATTTGTTCGGAAGAGAGGTATTCAAGAATTCACCGAAACATTAGGCGACATTCTACACACGAAAATGATACGCGATGGGTTTTTGTTTTGATATATGAATCAAGCACCTTTGGTTTTTTACAGAGTCGTGTAATTTTATCTAAAAACAGAAAAACTTTAAAATTCGGTTGCACAATGCAGTCACTTTTTTCTCCGCTTTCAATCATTATTTGATTCATTCCTCTATAGTGATTCAGCAATTTTGGATAGAGTTTATATTTCTTTCTCGGTTGAATCATAATTTGCGTCTATAATTTGCACTTTTCTTTCTGTATTTTTAACAAGATTTTCAAAAATGCCTATTAACACGTTGAATGCCACTCTAATTTTACATGTCTTGTTCGTCTGGCCAAACGATAAATAACTACAAACTAAATGTGCAAATTTAGACAGATTTTGCTAGTTTTTCAAAAGGTTTAGCATGACATATTAGATAATAGTGGTGAATTATATAAGCTTACGAATTGTTTAGAAATATAGTAACGATAATAATATTAAAAAAATTAAAAATCTACTCGAATTATGTGTTTTTAAAAATCTTGGCTTCGCCGGTCATCGCTGACCCCCGTGGCGCTGCGAACAAACTCAGTGCCGGTCACTGGTGACCCCCATGGCATTCAACGTGTTAATGATTGTTATAATTTTATCTGTACACTACTGAAAAATTTGCAAAGGCTGTTATTGTATAATGGAAATATAATTTATTGGCTACTAATTACATTGGTTGTTATTGTATTGCATTATTATTATTTTATTACTTTCTCTTACAGACATGGTTTGGTGGGTCATAGCCTTTTCCATGGGTGGAAAATTCTTCAGCTCAGGCTCCTTCGATATTGTTTACATCTACACTGCTGAGATTTTCCCAACTGTGGTCAGAAATGTCGCTGTTGGATCTAGTTCAACATTTGCGAGAATTGGAGCTCTTCTTGCCCCTTTTATTAGGCAACTGGTAAGTGGCAAAACATTTGACTGGGACTGGGTCCAGTTTCTGATTTTCCAGTCAACTGTTAAAAGCTATGTAAAAAAAAAGAAAAAAAAACAAGGAAAAAACTTGTTTTAACACATTGCATGCGGAAATTTTTTCCGCATGCAATGTGTTAAAATGTACAATTTTTTATTCAACAATTCAAACCTTGTAAAGAAGAGGTAGACATAAGACTTTATTTAAGCAGGCAAACTTCTCGCTACCATTTTAGTTTAAAATTTATCTCCGATAAGTAACTGAAGTATTGAACACATATCTTCTGAATCATTTATATTTTAATAACAAATAAGTTATTTCTTTGAAAAACTGTGAAAATTAAATAGTTTTTCAACCATTTCTTAAATTTTTGTATGATCGCAGAAATCACATCTATACATTTCACATGCTCAAAAACGTAGTTTTGCATGATCTGCATACATACATGTGAGGAAAAACATTTCCTCCAAAATTGTGAATGCTGACAGTCATGCAAAAATCACATCTATACATTTTAGACATTCAAATATGTAATTTTTCGTGATCTGCATTCATATGGGGAAAACAATCCCTGCAAAAATTGCAAATGTTTGCAGCTCTGCTAAAGATAATTTCACTAAAGGTTTGAAAACCGCTAACAATGGAGTATTTTTCAAGCATATTTTTACTTAGTACTAAAATATTTGCATAAAAAGAAAAATATTGAATCATTTTGTACTTATGAGCTGTTTTTAATACTTTTTTGGTTATTGGAAATATGCATTTGCTGGTCTGCTAAATTTAGATGCATGCAAATTCGTTCATTTTAGTAAGTTTTATAGGAAATTATGATGGTTGATTTCATATATTTATTCTGACGACAGGCTGACGTCACACATCCAGTCGTCCCCATGGCTCTTCCAGGTGGTTTATCTGTGATTAGTGGATTACTTTTGTTACTTCTTCCCAAAACTATAGGACAAGTATTACCGGATACTTTGGAAGAAGGAGAGTTGTTTGCCAGGCAAGTTAACCTTTTATTCCGTTCCATTTGCACGCATTATTAAAAGGGTACCTTCGACTAAAATAGCCTAACAGCACTGTTATTGTTGTTATGATTATTAAGTCCTAATTAAGCTTATTATTGTTGTAATGAAGTCCTGAATAATGTTATTATTAAGATGATGACGAAGCATTTTTATGATATTGTTATTATGATGATAATTAAATGCGATAAAGCAATAGCTAGGTAATTCTGGGGAACAAATTTTTGTTGCGGTTATACAAATACTTGATCTTCCCTAAATCGAGATTGCAGATTTCAAATCTAGAATTAATAGTTCTCCTCAAGTTACAGATTTTACAGAATAATGTTATCATTACGATGATGAAGCATATTTACTGACATTGTTATTATGATGATAATTAAATGCGATAAAGTAATAGCTAGATAATTCTGGGGAACAAATTTTTGTTGCGTTTATACAAATACTTGATCTTGCCTAGTTCGGGTTAGATTTCAGATCTAGAATTAATATTTCTCCTCTAGTTACAGATTTTTTTAAAATGACATTTTTAGTTTATTTTTGGCGAAATGTACAAGTTTAGAAACGTTACGAATAACAGGGTTTCGCTTAAATGTTGCGACAAACTTCTAGAAGAGTTAGGCATATCATTAGGATTAAAACTGCGTAGGAACCCATGCCCGTTTATGTTGTAGTACGCAACTAATGGCGCTTGTCTGTTATGGCCTGTTCACATGCATACGAAGAAACAGTTCATAATAGGGAAGCGTCCACAGCGGCGTATGATGATATTTCCAGGCATGGGTTTCTATGCAACTTTAAGCCTGTCGCAACCTTTGTGTGACTCTCTATTATACATGACGTTTTCAAACTTGTAAATTTGGGAAAAATAAAAAAAAATAAAAATGTCATCGAACGAAAAATAAAAAACTGCTTTGAGAGGAAAACCGAATGAAATTTTGAAATAAGTGACATGAAAATGTCCAATATCTGTTAAAATATCTTATGCAAAAGAAAAAAAAATGTTTCTCTGTGTAATTTAATGATATGAGGATACATAAACTATGATTAATTTATAATACTATTACTGAGCGAGTTTATTTATGTCCAACTAATTTACGTTTGTGCAACATGTAGTCTATATCAAATTTTGATCAGATACCAGTTCCCAGTTTGTATAGCGTATGTAAAGGGAGAAAAAAAAATATAACACTGAATTACTTTTGTTATAATAATAGGATTTTCAAATTTTAAATACGAATCCTAATGGTTCAAAACGTTGAACTCCGATATGCTAAGTAGTGCAAACTATTAATTAAATGACAGAATCCCACACAGAAAGGCGTTTTCCGTGGGAAAAAAACATACATATTTTTGATTGCCAATATATATATATATATATATATNATATATATCATTGTTGTTTGCTCAACAGCCGACCCAATTTTAAGTTTACGACTATCAATGTTTAACTCCGTAGCCTTGTAATTTATAACCTACGAAGACAAAGGAGTCTTGGTAGAGAATTTTTTAATGGAACTAACTTGCATTTGAGTTACATTGAGAGGAAAACCACGAAAATCTCCGACAGCAACCCATGATCCGTCTACCACTGAGGATATTTTACATCAGCACTGTGGACGATGTCAGCCAGATGCGTTGAGCCATCGGTGGGATTCGAACCCGGGTCATCTTAGTGGAAGTGTTACGTTCTATTGCCTGAGCTACCACGGTCGGGGTAGCACTATTTAGCAAATACGGTCTTATGGTTGGTAATTGGAAGTTTTGGGCCCTCAATGTTAATATGATTGTTTGCATATTTTGCGAAATTTCGGAAACTTTTCAAAGCGACTTTTTTGTTTTTATTTTCAGGAAGGAAAAAGTTCAAAAGAAATCTTCAGCAACTTCCGAGTTCGTCAACACCGCTGACGTCGAAATGCGGTAGCCATACTCCCTCTTCACTCTTCTCTGTGATAAAATTATATTTTCAACTACTGCAGTAGTTCGTGTGCTTTCTGTCCCCTTGCACAATGTGTCACACATTGTGGTTTATGTGCACATTTAACTCTTATGAAAAGAGGACAGGGCAGTGCCATCCAAATTGGAATAACATATTCTCCATGATTTTATGCGAAACCAAATGTTTCCCATGCATTAGACATTAGATACTATTATGAGAATGGAAAAATGTATTTTAAAATAGCTAAAGGAGTCATCTAATTATACAGAAAAAACAATTAAAGAAATTCGCCGAATATTAAGATAAACATTATAACTTCAATAATCATTACAAATTACAAAAAAAAGCCGTCGCTAGATTTTTCAGGCTCCTTGTCGTGCCCTAGTGCCAGATTTATCACAAAGTCTGAGATGTCCGGATGTAGGGCCCCCATATTTCTGGGGCATCTTAACGTTTAATGTTAAAAATATATTTTGTGTGTTTCTTCTTAATTATCTTTTAAAATTGTCTAATCAAAGTTGAAATCAAATTAATCTGAAATGTTTATATAATAAAAATTTTTAAATCATTTTATAAATAAACAAAATGCAAATTTGGTTTAAAATTACAAATAATCTAGCCCTCGACAATTCTGTACCTACCGTACCAGATTTCTTAATCGGTCTCGTAGGTACACGTTAGATTCTCGCTTAATTTATTAATTTTTCAAAATGCATTCCTAAGAACGGACGGCTTAAACATTTTTTTCTTATTATCAATAATATTTTTTATTTTATTTTCAAGGTTTGTATTATCGTTTAATTTTTATATATCATATTATTTGTGGGGCCTTTAGAAGTGAGTAATTTTGCATCTAATGCTTTAGCTTAAGACAAAATCGATTAATAATCTTAGTTTCGCAAGATGTTTCTTTCTATAATTGTAATTTTTGCAAAAAAAAAAAGAAAAAAAAACTGTGGATGCTACTCCTGGGGATCAAGCCAAAATTATTCTATGGATTTATTCTCCAGAAAGTGTGACATTTGAGTCCTTTAACTCTATTCAAATTATTCTCCTTGCAGTGATTTTTCTTTAAAACGAAATTTTTAAAACCCTTCAACTAAAATCTTTAAAAGCATTAAATTATATCATATTTATGTGACAAATTGAGCTGTTTTATTGGTGTCATAAATTAATGCTACAAAAAAAAATTGACGTTTAAGTCCTTTGCCTTTATTCAAATTATTCTCCTTTCTTTCTATCCTCAAATTACTCCATAGATTTTCTTTAAATGACATTTTTAGTCGATTTTTGCCGAAACGTGCAAGTTTAAAAACGTTATACATAACAGAGGGCCGTGTAAATGTTGCGTCACACTTCTAAGGAAGTTAGAGCACATCATCAGGATTAAAATTGAATAGGAACTCATACTTAGAAATGTCGCCTATGTTAGGGGATGCTTCCCTACTATGACCTGTTCAGAAGTACACAGAGAAACAGTTCATAATAGGGAAGCACTCCTAGCGGCTTATAACAATTCCAGGCATGGGTTTCTATGCAATTTTAATCCTGATGATGAGCTCTAACTCTTCTAGCTTGACGCAACATTTATGTGAACCCCAGCTACATAAAATTTTTTTAAACTTGTACATTTCGACGAAAAGTAGACTAAAAATTTCATTAAAAAATGGAGCTTGGAGAGTGCAACCGATTGCAGATTTGAAATCAGTAATACAGAAGATCTGTTGAAAACAGATTAAGAAAAAAAAAATTGGTGTCATTTTTGGTGTCGCCGAAATGTCACAGTCATTATGAATTATAAGAGTATTTCAACAATCACTACAATCTTTGTGCGTTTTCTAACATTTTTACTAGGATTACTAAACAATGCTAGATGATTGCAATAGCAAGAAGCTGTTAAGCCTACTTTATTCAAATTTAATAGCATTGTCTCACGAATATGTAATGCATTTTTTTTTTGCTGCTATTGGCACCTGCAATTTTACTATGTCGTTTGAAGGTTAAAGCTGATAAATATCCATATAAAATTTTTTGAATTGATTGCTTAAGAGAAGCTTTATAAGTTTGCTCACCTGTTTCATTACATAAAATCGATTTTTTCCCCATAATTCCTATGAGCTGCGTTTGATGATTCAAAAGGAGCTTCTATTAAACTCTAATCGAAAACTTCTTTTTAGAAAAGCAAAAAAATTTATACTCATTAAATCAAATATTCAGATATTATAATATTTCGCACTTTTACATTTCTCCATATACTCGCTTAATAGTAGACCTGAAAATAACTAATGGTCACGTGGTGAGTCAACGAAAGAAAGCTGCTACTTAAATTTAATAAATAACCGGTCCCTATTCCTCCATTGCTGTTTTTTTAAAAAAAATTGTTTAATAATTAAAGTTCATCATTATCAGAATTTTCATTGAAATTACTCCTTTCAAAATTTTGATCCTTCAAAAACCATCAATTTTGAGATGGAAAGAGAATTCTTTAACTATTCACATATTTCAAAGCTGTAATATATATACTTAAAATGTATTTTGTAAAGTATTTAAAAAAAAAGTTCTTTAAAGTCAGTTTGTTTTACTAAATTTTGTCACATACAGTAGGGAACCGATTATCCGGAACGATCGGGACCATCGCTATTCCGGATAACTGATTTTTCCGGTTTTCTGAATTGCTACAAAAAGCCGTTTTTTTATTGACAAACTCAACTAAAAAAATATTTGGAAATAATTTTAAAAAGAAGAAAAAACAATGAAGTAATACACTAATGATTATTTCCAAAATGATGGTAAGGTAAACATCTTTCAAAAAAGAAAGAAAAATCCTGAAATCTTATGAGGAAAAAAAATTAAAATGGCGGGAAAATTTATCGAATTTCATTCCGGTTTTTTGATTTCCGGATAACGGGTTCTGTACTGTATTTTTATTGTTAACTTCTTATAGCCGTTTATTATTTCTAATAGGAATTATTTTTAAAAAAATAATTTAATCTAAGCAAAAAAAAAAAAAAAATGNACTAATTGAAAATTTAAATTTTCAGGTCCACTAACTCAAATTGTAAACAGAGGTATAATTTACTGGTATTCGTTTAAGCGAAATCGACAATTTTCCTACGAGTTGCTTTTCCTTTTTTCCCGTCAGTTCTGAAATTTAATAGAAGCACTTAATACAGGGTATTTCGCAATGATCACTCTTAATGCATCATTTCAGATCCCTTTTTCGTTTTCAGAAAGGTACAATTTGCAATCACTAATAAGTGTTACGGAAAAGAAACTTCATTGAGGTATTGGTTAAGCGACAAAACAGAAAAGCTATCGAAATCTATAGACTTAAAACATCAAAATCTGTTTGATTACCGCGGGTAACAGAGAGAAGTTGAAAAACTATTTTTTTAGATAAGCCTCAAAATTTTATTAGGCAATCAAACTGGTTTTGATGTTTTTCCCCTTACCTCATTAGTGATTTGGCTGATTTCTGCTTCTATTTCTATTTGATATCGACAATCCATTATTTACTTACTATTTGTGATCCATAGTTTTGACTAGGATTCTAAAAATAATATATTAAGGGCGGTCATAACGTAACACCCTGTATTAGATTATTCAAAATCATTTTATCGGTTTCATTTTACTGAATTCGTTGCAAATTATTATATTAAGCAGCAAATCTATAATTTTGACAACAGTTTTGACAAGGATTATAAAAATATATAAAGGACGGTCATAACGTAACACCCTGTATTTGATTATTCAATATCATTTTATCGGTCCCATTGTATTGGTTTCGTTGTAAACTGTTATGTAAAACAGCATCTTTTTTTACTATTAAGAAATTTATTAACTTCATTTTACATTATTTGTGTTTGAATAAAACGTGTTTGTTTTTGGAAAATTAAGTAGATTTTTTATTTATTGTAAGTTGTAACGCATACTTTGTTGTTCTTTGATTAATAAAAATGTATGTTTTGTTATGGATGATCTTGTAATTATTAAAATAATTAAATCACTTTTTTCTTATAGCTTTCAATTTTTATTTCTGTTTCCGACACTTTTTTCGACTTTTAGTTTTCAGCGGCCTCAACCCTCACCATCTTGGATAAATTTTGGTTAAATTTTGATTGATTTTTTCTTGATATTGCAATACATTTTTTGCTTAAAACACATTTATAATGCACTTTTATAGGTTAATTTAATTTTGAAATCAATGTGCTTTTTAAATTAATTATTGATTTCTGCATTTTAAAACAAAATCGTTTGCAAAATATGAAAGCAAAAATTGCCAAATCCCATTTACAAAAATATAAAGATTCAATTTTTTTTTCTCCTTTTGTTATGAAAGCCAAAACGCTACAAAAACTATTGTTCCACACAAGTGAAAAGGTACAGAAATAAAGCTTTTTTTATACACTCAAAGTTTGAAAAGGCATTTTGTATTATAATCTATGGTAAAATCGCAATTTATTTTTTAAATTCAAATAAACATTTATAACATTATCATTTGCTGACATACTTCAGTTCAAAAAATAGTATTTGTTCTTAAATGAATTTTTTGTAAGTTGCAATGGTTTATTTTCAACGTAGTGTATAATCAGCAAAAAAAATTAAAATAAATAAATAAAATAAAAAAATTAACAAATTACTTGTGTAATTTTTTAACGCTTGCTTGGATTTTTCTTTTGTTCTTTGATAATATCTCAAAAGAATCTAATAAGTTTAACAGTTAACTATAATTGTGGCGGAATATGCTTATTTTGACCAAAAAACGAAATTTTTCTATAGAAACATACCTTTTTCCTCCATCAAATTCGGATTTGTCACCCACAGAATAGGATGAGGTTTTCAAAAAACTGGCTTTAATAGTTTAACCGTTATAACGGCTCAAAAATTTGCTACACAAATGTCATTTCAATGTGTCATGTTTTTCTTCATATCTTTTGAATGATTGATTAAACTGTAATAATTCTTTCAGAAAAAGTTATAAGTCTTCAACCCAAAGACAGCTATCTATATTATATAAAACGCTAATACGTATGTATCAATAAAACCGATGATATTTCTTTTCTCGCATTGGCAACAGTTTTCATTTTTAACTGATAGGCTTCGGCGCGCAAGAGCACGTAGTGAGCATCATATGGCTAATCTATATTATATAAAATGCTAATACGTTTTAATTTATAGGCTTCGACGAGCAAGAGCACGTAGTGAGCATCATATGTCTAATGGGGTGAATTCTCACCGAATTATCAAAAAAATTCTCACAAAATTATCTTCATCGAAGCCGATGCTTTACACCCGGCGTTCAGTACTTTTTAATATTGTTTTACAACACATGGTTTTAGCCCTCTGGTGGGAAATACTTTAAAACAAAGCTTACAACAGTTACTTTTCTCAACAACTGAAATTTAGAATAGTGTGATTAAGAAAAATATGTGAACTGTTTGCAATTTCAAATTAATATTGAAATGCACAGGTTTAGAATTTTCTACAGTGAAAAGTTTTCGGAACTTCAGTATTCAAAAAAGTATACAAAAGCTAGACGTTAAGAACGTATCCACTGAGCGAGCAAAGCGAGCTTCGAATGAACTGCAAAAGCAGTTCCGGGAGTTGGCGAGCGCTAGCGAGCAGGGGGCGAAGCCTCCTAGTTTAATATAAAAGAGAATATAGACGAATTAAATAATTTTTATAAATAAATTTGTTAATTATGAAAATTTTGTATTGCAAGGTTAAATTTTTTTTTATATATTCAGAATTTTCATATCTAAATCTAGATTTTCATGCTATTTGATCAATAAAAATTCTTGAAAACTAATTTAAAAAATAACTTATAAATTGGTATTGAAATGACTCACCAATGTCAGATTCAATTGTCAAATTATAGTATTTCATATTATATGTCATATGAGTTAACCTAATAATGAAAGAGTTAATTGTTTATACTCGTACCTGTGAAGTTAAGGCCTTAATTTTTAATAGCCTTTATTTACTAATAAGGCCTTTTTCTTTAAAAAAAATTTAGTAATTATAAAACTGGTAGATAGCCATTTTGTAAAATTAGATATTATTCCTTTTCCTTAAAAATATGTGTTTTTGTTTTAAACATACTTCCAATTGTCAAGTAATAATAATAACCGTCTTCAAAATTTCCTCCCCCCCCTTAATAGTGTTGCTTCTTTTAAATTTTACAGGATTCTTTTTTACGAACCTAGGTTATGTAAAATTGTTAAAAGGTAGAAAAATTAAAATTTTTACAATAAAATTCCAGATGATTTGAAATCAGTCCTTTTAATATTTTGAATGAAATGTTAATAAAATATCGAAGAAAACTGTGTAGAAATTTTAAATGTTATTCTTTTCTATGTAGTAACCAAAACTCTTTTTACAAAAAAATGTTTGCCAGTGAAAAAAAAACTTTTTTGTTTGGTTCTTTAATTTTAAATGAGTTTTGAAAGACTTTTTCATTGATAAAATTGATTAATAAATTGATAAAACAAATAATAATCTGATGATTATGTTTTCGCGTTTATAAATTATTGCAAAATTAAAATAATTTATGCCATATTGACATAATTTAGTTAAGTTTTTAAATAATTCAAACCCAGTTGGATAGAGAAGCAATCATGAAAAGTTTAATTTCTTTCTTAAAAAGCAAATTTCTTTTAAAAAAATGCAAATAAAAATTATTTTTTTTAAAAAATTTTTATGAATTTAAAAAATAATTATCTCTGGAATAGAATATTATATCTAAACAAAATTGCTCCACCCACTTCAATTCATAAAGCTAGAAGAAAAAAGAACAGAAAATTATGTTTTTCCTAGTTTTATTTGAGAAAAGAAAAATCTTAGTGCTACTTTTTATTTACTTTATTACTCTGAGTCAGAATTGCTTCATAGCGTGGATCAATAGATTTACACAATGGAAAATTATTTCCATAACATATATTTTTCTTAAGTTTGGGGTCACATTTAACTTCACTGTACGAAAAAGAACGTTTATGTAAATGTGTAATTAACAAACATCTTTTTCAGGTTCCATACCATAAAAAGAATTTTTTCCTCACAGAATAAACTAAATAATTATTAAATAGCAGAACAAAATCTGAATTTGGGAAATAAAACAAAAAAGAAATGTTCATGGTGTTAAAATATTCATTTCAGACGTGTAGGCTTCGTAAAATATATTTAAACGACTCTTTATTTACCAATTAAAGTTACAGAGCAAAGAAAATTAACACATCTCAATTTATAAATGGTACCTATTATATTTGCTACTAAGACCTGCCAGATACAGAGTTGTGGCAAAAGAAGAACGATTCTGGAAATTTGAATCCAAAATATAACCATTACTATTTGAAAAAAAAAAAAAAAAAAATTAACGAGCTTAAAATAAAGTAAGTGCAAATCAAAACAAACTAAGCTTTCCATTCGAATAAAAAAATTAAACTAACAGTAAATAATATAGATTAAAAACCATTTAAATGCTGTTAAATTTTTCTGAAATCTTAGAAGGAAAAAAAAACTAGTCATTTTGCCTCTAGGAAAAAAAAACAGTTATTTCGTCTCAGATTTAACAGCCATCTTCTCTCTACCGCTCGTTTTTTTGCGAGAATGTCTTATTACACGCACTACACGAATAAGTTTTTGATTAAGAGAGTATTGATTTGAAATACTTTAACGTGCATAAGGTTTTTCACACATTCTGGGTATTCTACACTCCATAGTACTGTGCGTTGACGGGTCTCTATCTTTTAAGGAATTGGTAACTAATTTTAAACCATAGTTTCTACTACAGAATGGCAACAAGGAAATGATAACGTCGGATCAATGGGCTTTTCGCATTGTGATTGGCTGTTGACTATCACTCATGGTTGCAAGAATTTGGGAAGTTATCGCGTTTATTGTGAATTAAANTCTGTGTATTCTACACTACGCAGTGCTATGTGTTGACATAAGAGAAGGGTGATAAAATATAAGTTAAATGACGTAATTGAGGTTTTAACTTACATCGAATAAAAATAGTTTCAGTTTAGTGACATACTATAACAGAAATGAGCAGCGGAAATTGTTTCAAAACTCTTCCATCAGACAAAAATAGACAGCCGGAATAAGTACCTATATTAATGAATACGATGTAAATATACACCGCGTAAAAATTACTTGTACTGGATTTCATTTTGAGTTTTTACGTTATGTTTAGTTTATTTTGAATTGATTCTTTAAAATGACTGAAACTCCAAACCAAGCCAAACTTTCTTGGAGAAGACTACATTTGAGCCGTGCCAAATTAAAAGCTTCGAGTAGAACATCTGCTCTACTTGCAGGGTTCGCAATGGTAAATGAAAAAAGATTTCCTCCAAAACGTATAGCATAAAAATATAAAATAACTGATCTGCATTAAATATTAACAATGGTGATATTCATATTTAATTTATAATTTAAAACAATGCTGTTTTTATTTATTCAACCAAATTAGTTTTTATTGATTTATAAAAAATACTTACCATTAAAAATTACCTATTACTTAAGTAAAATGTTTAGTGTTATTTCGTTATGGGAACAAAAAAACGTATTCCAACATAACCTATATTACTATATTTGCTAACTATTATCACTCTTAGTGAAGCATAACACTAGTTAACAATAGATTAGAGAGTTTTTCTTTATTGCTACTTGAAATGCTGTAATACCAAATTTTAACAATTTTTACCAGATATTTCTTGTGTTTGTATGATTTTTATTTGTATTTGTGTAAAAAGAATGACATTTTGCAAGTTGAAGGTTGTTTTATAATTACCTATCAATAAAACAGTAGGCTGCTGATCTGCCCGTAGAGGTGATTTTTAAGTACTTCATAAACTGTTATTTTTTAAATGGAAAATATTGTTTTAACTAAAAAGAACTGGAAAGTGAAGTAATTATGCTGTATAGTTTAGAAAACTTCTAGCTAAATTCAAAACACGATGAAAAGGAAAGTATAGTGTCCCTGCCAAAAATTCATTCAAAAGTAAATAAGAAGGATTATGTTGCTATGTTAAACTCTGGGTCATCTCTTAATGTTATACCCAAAGAAACTTTAGATGAAATGCAGTGTAAATTTAAAATTCAAAAACGAAATTTGTTAATTCGAAATTTTACGAGTGACACAGGTAAAATCTTTTAAAATGAATGATCATTTTTTCTTATGGAAGATTTCTTTATAACCCCATGCTGAATAAATTCAGACTATGAATTGGTATTAGGAAGCCCATTTTTGACTGGCAATAAATTTAATCAAAATTTCGAAAAGAAATGCATTGAAAATAAAAATTTAAGATTAAAATGAAAAAACTGATAATCGAATGTAATCTATGCTAAAATGCAACAGGAATTAAATTATCTACTTAAAGCAAATATATTTCTGAGCCCTGAACAGATAATCTTTATAAAATCAGGGGTAAAGAATTTTAAACATACTGTGCAGGTGCTAATTTCTAATGTGCAAAAATTCAGTGATCGTGGTGTTTGGGTTACTAGATGCATCAATAACTTTCTATTAATATATGTCTGATAACAGTAATTAATACTCAGGCTGAACGTATACACTTAAATAAAAATTCTAATGTTGCAATACTAAAATTAAGGAAAACCTTTGTGGAGCAATGTAATTCCTTAGAAACAACGCAACTGGGAGATGATTTTGAAGCATGGGGAAATGAAATTGAAATCGATCATTTCGAAGATGGAAAACAAGAAATTTCAGAACAATTTTTAGAGAATTACCCAGATATTTTCTCAAAAAACGTAAACGATCTTTTAAGATAAAACTACTTTTTACATCGTGAAGATTTGATTGATGATATACCTGTAAGGCAACCTCACCATCTAAAATCCAAAATGGAAAAACAGATTAATGAGCTACTCGAAAATAAAATTATTAAAGAGAATACCTCTCCATATTCAGCTCCAGTCGTATTGGTAAGTAAAAAAATGTTTTAAATTGGTGTGTATGAACTCATGAGGGGAGATGTAATCAGAGATAATAAACTTTTGTTGAATGATGATGTTTTAACAACTAAGAGGATGTTTAAGAGCAACTCCTGGATCAAGCAGCTGCAAGGATGAGCCTTGGTTATAAGTCGAGAGGAGATTGGAGGGTCAATCCAAGCTCGGTTTTCATGGAAAAGGGGTGGAGTCAGATCTTTTTAGAAATCGAAGATGGTGACCATTGTTGTCAGAGTTAAAAGAAGCTTCCTTTAGCAAAGGGTCGACTGCTGGACGGATGGCCTAAAATTCTATAACATCTGCTGTAAATGAGTAAGAGATCTTCAGCATCTTCTAGACTTGTCATCACATAGCTTTACAATCCTAAGATGTATGATGGTTGGCGCAACCATCCAGGGGCCCTACCATGAGCTACCGGGAATGGAATGAAGATTCCCGGCTGGAAAGTGAAACTGGGAAAGTTTGGTTCCATGAACGTTCAATACCGTACCATGAACACTCCCTTGGAATCAGACATTCCTCGATAACTCGCTCTCAGGGCGTGGCTAAAATTTAACCAATCACACAATTTACTTTAGATTTTCTTTTTGAGTTTGGCAGCATTAGCATGAGTAAAACGAAACGAGCTTCTGCTATTTAGATAATATTTTTGACGATTTATTGCTTTCTTTTTATAATGTTTTTTGTTTTCATTTGACTAAAAAAACAAACTGTGAATACTTTGAAATATTCTTTAATTTATTATACATATAATTTATTACTAATTAAAAACTGTCATATTTAACATGTATAATTCATAGAATAAAATCATTTTCTCATAATAAATATTTCTGACATATACTTTAATGCGTTTCACTATTTGTTTAAAAAGTACAACTCTTAAAATAATGATAATATTTTAATGAATTAAGTTTCAAAATTTCGTGCCTGAGTTCTGCATGCAGATAGATTACTGATTATACTAGTTTTTAATAAAAAACTAATTGCCAGAAAGAAATCAAATTTTATCAGACAGAAAATTAACGTTTACCAATCGGTATCTTAGAAATTAACTTAATTTCAGAAAAGTTCATTAGTTTTCAATTAAATTTGTAACAATATGAATGACTAAAGTTACTACTTTGCTTATTACTTTAGTTTATTTGTTACATTATTAAAGTGGCTGTTTTTTACTGATAGTTAAATAAATATGTTCACAAGAAATTAATTTATAGATTTGTGTAAACAAAAGTTTCGTGATTTGTAAAATCATTTCACGTTTGAAATACTTAAAAATTATAGTTTAAGGAACTACTTCCACAGCTTTTATAGTATATATTTTAATGGAAGAATGAGGATAAAAGATTTTAAAATGAGTAAAAGAAGAAATAAATGCATATTTCATAAATATTTTTCGAAGCATTTTTATTCTATTTTCTTTTTCTCATTTCGTATTATAAATAAATTATTTACTTTATAATACATCATGCCTGTAACAAATTCATTTAAATTTGCTGCTATCTGTATATACTATAAAAAACTATCGTTCGGAATGAAGTTAAATACTGTTGAATTAAAAGTCATCGAAAGAAAATTTAAAAAAGAAATGATTAATTGGAACTTCAAAAAAAAGGAATTGGTCAAGTTATATATCCCAGGTAATATAAGATAAAAAGTAGTAACAATTATCATATAATAAGAGCATAATTATATTTAGTTTGCTGTAATTTCTTAGTTAATCTCTGAAAGTATCTTTTCGTTCACACGAAACAAAACATCTCTTAATAATCGTCTTGAAAATGGCTCGGGCACTTTTATCTTTTAGATATTTTGAAATCTTCCCTTATGAAATAGAAAATAATTAAGACATTCATCGGCGAAATGTCGTATTTAGTTCTCAAAAATTCACCATTCCCTCCAAGAATGAGGATTCCGGGCAGTAGACATCGGCTGGAAAGAAAACCGGTTGTTTCTTGCCAAGAAACTCTTTCCAAGGTGTTCGTGGTGGGGGAAAATAATTCCCGTTGGAACGTGACGTCATTCCCAGATGGAATTTCATTCCATGGAGCTCATGGTAGGGTTCCAGGGTATAAGAAGGATTAAGCCGAGTTGCATAGTTGTGGAAGATTCCGGAGTCTCACTTGCCCCAACTTACAGCCTGTCTCTACTACTTGAAACCCACATGAATCAACTTGACACCCGACCCCCTTACTCTTACCATACCTACCTAGACTATGTCTCCGATCAACTGAGGAATAATAAAATTGTAGTCAAACCTCACATAACCAAAGAACTGTTAAAGATATAATCGGATCAGATAAAGTAGTCAAAATGACTGCTATTATTCATCAAAGTGATGAACTATTTTAATGATTGTGATGAAATCATCTTAGCAAATTTTCACTCATGAGTCATAAACAATTATCTTGTTAGGCTGAGATGTATCGATTTACGCGTGAGTTTGGTAGATAGTTAAGGGAAAGTTAGTTAATAAGTGTTAATGTTTAAAAAGACAAAAGAAAAAGAAACTTTTTTTTTCTCCTTGACTGGTTGGAATGTTGTATATTAATTTTCCGCCAATTAAAAAAAAAAAAAAAAATCAAGACATCACAGACCAATATTTGAGTTGTAAATAAATATTTTAATTTCTTCTTATATTTTGAATGTGTTTCATAATTTGGCTTGCAGCTGGGTCGTGTGTTAGCAAATTTAGCTTTTTACAGGGATGTGATTCTTGCGCGGATTTGCAGATTTCCGGATTTCCGCTTTTTTTCAGATTTTTCCTTTTTTCTCGCTAATTTCTGCTGAAATTTTTTTTTTTGCACAAGTTAAAATATTTTATGAGGAATTAAATTTTCCGCGCAGGGAAAGTATTGAAGTCCTCATTCCTCCCTCAAACATTGATTTTCGTATTTACCTGATTTAAAAGTTGAATGTTGCGATTCTTAATCAGGCGATTTAAATGTCATGTATTGCGATTCGTATTTACGAGATTTAAAAAATATCGCGATTTGTAATTATGCGCTTTTAAAACCCTTTGTAGTGATACATATTCAGGCGAGCTTAAAATCCAATGTCGTGATTCTTTTTTGCGATTGTAATATCAAACATCGATTTTCCTATTTATACGTGCTTTAAAAATTAGACAGTGGGATTCGTATTCGCGCTATTTAAAATTTACGCATCGGGATTCGTATTTACGTGATCTGAAAATTACGCATCATGATTTGTATTTTGGCATTTTTTAAATTCGATATAGAGTTTCATGTTCACTTGATTTAAAAGCCTCATTTCGGGATTCATATTCTCTTAATTTAAAATCATGCATGTGATTCATATTTATATATTCATGCAATTTTAAAATTAATCATC